TAGAACAGCCACTAAAAGGCATACACCTATCAAGATAGTGGGCCATTTTCTTCTCTCTGTGCTAGCAGAGCGGTCCCTAGGCAGAAGCGGGGATGTTTCTGATGGATTTGAAGTATTTCGAGGTTTGTTGCGCATGTTTATAATGCAGTTGTCTCTTGAAGCCCTGCAGGCGTTAAACTTGAATTGTGTGTATGGTGGTGATTGTATCTTGGAGATGGCCGACCTAAGACTAAACCAGTGGTCGTCGCTGTAAGACCTGTTGTTAAACAGCACGCACCTGTAGTCACATTCCTCACAGAGAGATTTGAAGTCTCCCGACTGCTCTCTGCACCAATCCTCAAAACTCTTTCTTTCATGATTATCTGTTTCAAAGTTGTCTCCATACGTCATGACAATGACGCCCCACTTCCTGAAGACATCCTCGCCAAACATTGACTTGACGCAATGAACGGCGTCCTTTTCCTGTTTGGTGAATCGCACGCCGTACTTCAGAACAAAGAGGATGGCGTTGAATTCTGGTTCATGACACCAAATAGACCTGAGCGCTTCTAACACAGCTTCTTCGCCCCCTTTAAGATCATTTCCTGTGTCACCCACGTACGTGCCATCAACCAGTCTCAAGCTAACGCCACTATTGGTTCCACCCACTCTACCACAGTAAAATTTCACTGCTTCGTTTGAGACACAGTTTGGCCCAATAACCTTGAAAACTTGAGACTTAAAAATTGTATTTCCGGTGGAGCTTTTACCATTTCCGGTTCTGCCCACCATAAGAAGGCTTATGGTTTCTTCGGTGCTTGCCATCTCGTCTACTCTGTTTAAAAATTAAATAAAAATGTTTGACATGATAGAACTAATAAGCAACATTAACAGTCATTACTTTTTTTTTTAAATACCGGATGATTGCTTTGGTTATAGTCAAATGGTCGGCAATATTAAAATCTAAAGAATGATGGAATCAGATTGATAATAACCCGGCATTATATATTTTTTTTTTATATTGAGATTACGCAAATAACGAATAGATCGTTTATTTCTTTTTAAATTGCATTTTGAAAAAATATTTTTAAAATTTTTTAATAGAAATGGAAATATCAACAACAGGAAGTGAAATTCAAAATTCCTATTTAGAGTGAAATTCGTCCAGCTTTAGCCAAATGATCGAAAAGATAAAACACTTTAAGCACATGAAGACACGTTCTTAACAAGACAACATATTTAGAATAGAACAATGTGAGCACAAGACACCCAAAGTATGTCTCAGGTGTTAGCTTACATATACTATAAAACATCACTCCCATATTGTCTATAATTACTTTGAGTAAATGTGATTATTTGATTGTGTAACAGACGGGTCAAAGGGAGGGGGGGGGGAGCTTATGATTTCTGACAGAAAGGTAAAATACTGGAACTGTTAGCGATATTTCGGTCAGAATTTGTCCTGATCGTGCTGATCTTAGAGCAATCAAAAGTTTGGGATGTATCTTTTACTTTAAATAGTTGTTCACGTGGACGGTATTTAGTTTTGTTTGTGTGACATTATCTATATGTTTGCTTTATATATTGGAAAAGTCTGTTCAATCGGTGTTTGAAGAGGAAACATTTTTATAGGTTTAAAAAAAAAAATGAAAAAAGATTTTCAAACGATAAATAATTCATCATACCAATTAATAAAACTTGGCACTAAGTTGGGGGTATAAACTTTCCCCTCAAAATACTAAGCCAACGATGGTTGTATTATCTTGGAATTTAATGATTGGAATGTTGTAAATACTTTTGGATCTCATTGTTATACATGTACATTGTATATAGGGCAGAGGAGAGAAGACAATGGTGTGACGCGACGGTACGTTTTTTCTGTATGGAATTAAATTTAATATTTCGCCATTCACCTTTATAATATTCTAGGCGATATTTCGGTTAAAAATTACAGAATCCACGCTTATATATATATGAATATACATTTAACGCAGAAAGTTTTCATCCAAAGTTGTGGTTCGATAGTGTTAAAGGCTGATGAGAAGTCTAAGAAGATAACCCTAGAAGATTTTTTTTTATCCCAGTGTTGGTGATGTTCATGTTTTAAAAAAAAAAAAAAAACTTTAGTAAGATGTCACTCTATGAATTTCTATTGGGCTTATTAGCAACGTTTTGGAGATCAAATTTTATCCGTACTTCAATTTTAATTTTTCTCACGCAAATTTCAAAAAACCTGTTTATTAAGGTACAATAGAAGTAAGCGTGTTATGGGCCGCTATTACAAGGGACTTCCCTTTTTTTGGGTGATATTACAACTACTAAAACTATCCAGTACTAAACTACCACATTTTAATCGCGTTTGACGCCGTGGTATAGCTCTAGGTTTGACTCTAACAGCAACGCTTTGCAGCAGTGAAAAAAGAAGAGACTTTGGACAGTTGTTGTTGAAAATGGGTCTGTAAACAGAGGAGAAAGTCTACAAAGTATAGAAGTATTTTTGCTCAAACGTGGAGGGGGGACGAGTTTGAAAAATATTGCACAGTTATTTCGATGAAGATTTTATATTATGCTTTCTCGTGCAAGGACATTTCACAATTTTTGGAAGTGTATTTGGTCAACTGTAAGGGAAGTCTGGTCATTTTAGATGAATGATAATCTATTCCATTTCTAAAAAAAAAAATATTTATCTTATGGCAGCAATTTTAAAGCTTTTAGGAATTTCACTTTTGCGCAAATTACTGTTAATGATATCGAGTACGGTTATTTCCTCTAAAGGGCCTCAATACACCAGCATCGCCTTATGGATGTCACCTGAACCTGTTGCTTTTCAAGATTTCATTTTCTTCATCGCTCTGTGTGTGTAGAGAGATTTCCTTGAAAAGGACAACGCTTAAGGTGTCCTTTTTTTTTTTTTTTTTTTTTTTTTTTTTTTTTTTTTTTTTTGACCTTAGCTCATCTATGAGGAATTGGTCACTGTTAGTCTTTTTGCTGTTTAGACTTTAGGTCATCTATTAAGAATCGGCCACTGTTGGTCTTTTTGTTTGGACTTAAGGTCATCTATAAGGAATCGGCTGCTGTTAGTCTTTTGTTTGGACTTAAGGTCATCTATAAGGAATCGGCCGCTGTTAGTCTTTTGTTTGGACTTAAGGTCATCTATAAGGAATCGGCCGCTGTTAGTCTGTCTGTTTGGACTTTAGGTCATCTATAAGGAATCAGCCGCTGTTAGTCTGTCTGTTTGCCTTGTCGACTGAGGCAAAGTGTTGGTGAAAGTATGTTGTTCTAAATTTTTTTTTTTTTATTTGTTGTTATGAGCGACGTGAGAATGAGTCTGTGGTCGCCACCTGTGCCGTCCATCCGCTCAGAGGTTTCTATCTGTAGCAAGTCTGGAGAGAGGAGAGTCTGTTTGGACTTTAGGTCATCTATAAGGAATCAGCCGCTGTTAGTCTGTCTGTTTGCCTTGTCGACTGAGGCAAAGTGTTGGTGAAAGTATGTTGTTCTAAATTTTTTTTTTTTTTTATTTGTTGTTATGAGCGACGTGAGAATGAGTCTGTGGTCGCCACCTGTGCCGTCCATCCGCTCAGAGGTTTCTATCTGTAGCAAGTCTGGAGAGAGGAGAGTCATGTCGGGGCTGATGAGTCTGTGGGGGAGAGTGAATGTCGATACTTTGTTCTGTATAGTTGATAGGTTTGTAGAGCTACAGAGTTCCTCTATTGCCTGTCCAGTGTTCTTTTAATTTTGGTAGCCACATTGAGGGCAGTGTCCGTTTAAATCACCAGCCATCCCAGCATTGGAGAACTGATGGCTCTCTTCGCGGGCAAAGATGCAGTTATTTGTTGGAAAAGAGGGTTTTATGTGTTGAAGACGGTATATTTTTCATAATGTTACAAACAGTTGCTTTTTTTTGGATACCTGTGAAATGATCTGTTAATATCATTTCTAATGTAGTTGACGATATCCCTTACAGTCAGGACATTTGCAACTGTAACAAGTGTGAACTATGACGCGTGGGTCTGTATTGAGTTCTATCGCTTTTCGTAGTAGTACTAGATGTACTTGTTGATGCCGCGGGGCGAGGTGATCTCAATTTTTGTTTTGTTTCATATCCCCAAACGTTGGATATGTATTTTTGATGTTCGTGCAAGTAGCAAAACTTTGTGAGGAAATCATGCACTGGGGGTTTGGGAGCTTGAGGCTTTAGGGCTTGGGTTATCCCCCCCCCCAATCAGTCATGTCGTTCACGCAGGATTAATACTTTTTCCATTCCCCGCCACTCTCTGTTTCCTGATACTCCATATTTTCATTGTTGATTCAGGCCGCTTAAGTACCAGTCCCCGCACTGGGTCAGTTGTGTTGTGCGAGGATTATAAGGATATAGGAGACAGACACTGTCTACCAGACTTGTTTCCATAGTGTTTCGGATATGTACCACTTCATGACTGGTCAATCGTATACGGTTACGTCCAAGAGGCTCCAACATCTACACAACGTCTTCCACAAAGGTATCATTGAAAGGATTATAAAGACTACAAAAAAAAAAAAAACCCAAAAAAAACCCCACCTATAAGGGGAGAGTAAACTGGTCAATCGTATACGGTTACGTCCAAGAGGCCCCAACATCTACACAACGTCTTCCACAAAGGTATCATTGAAAGGATTATAAAGACAACAAAAAAAAAAAAAAACCCAAAAAAAACCCCACCTATAAGGGGAGAGTAGAAGCTGGCTTAGAGTAGCATGAGATGTTTAACACTTTGCTCTTAGAGTGTGTCACAGTCTACTCCCAAAGGGTCCAGTTTTATCGCACGACGTTTAGACACAACGGATGGGTCTCTGTTTGAAACAAGGAGAGGCAGGACAAAACCAGCACCACAATACTTTCGTGAAGGCGTCCATCCAGACACTCACTAAGGTAGGAGAGGTCCGCCCATTCAGACACAGGCAGGTCATATTTCAGAGACGTCGTGAAGCTATAGATAAGACGTCGTCTGGTACAACCGCGAGTCACTACCTCTAAACAAGAGAAGCGTTTTGTTGCGCACCGCTATATCTTTCCCCTCCTTACACGACGGGTAAATCAGCACGCTAATATTAGATTAAATGTAAGTTACTTTCAGAAGACATGAAGTGGAACTTAAAGCTGACCCCATAAAAATGTGCGTCTTATCACATCAATACTGTAATATTTGACACTAAGTATTACCGTACAAATATAAAGCGAAACAAATTTCAACCAATTTTTATGGTAAACATTTCTTGCAAACACATCCCTTTAGAAAGCATAAATAAAACCTTATTTATAACAATGTCCAGATAATTTTATTTAAGTTTATGTTTATGGAATATATTTAAAAAGCATAGCGTAAAATGGAGAATAGAATATCCAATGGGTTGAAATCAAAATACTTGAAAGTGGCTGTAGCTCCTACTAAAATCAAGATACCGATTAATTTCCAAGAAATCTTCTTAGTTCTTCTATTTGCCACCATTGCTAGTAATTCATTTTCTAAAATGGCGATTAAATTCTTGACCGAGTCAATGGAATCTTGCATGAGGCCTGTGTAGTTGTCCAGCACTTCTAAATAGTGCAGGTGAGCCCGCAGGTCATTAAGTGCACCTATGTATTCCCTTTCACTTGTATAGCTCCGGTTTGTAAGATTATCATCAATCTGCCTTGACCTTTGTTTGAATGCTTTCAGTTTTGCGTCAATTTCCTCACGACGGACTGAAGCTTTTTGGTAATCTTCCAATGTGTACGGCGTGCGTAGCTGACCGATGCACGGTAAAAGATGTCTGCGCTGCTCCTCTTGTACCGTTCTGTCTTTTGATCTATTATTAAACAGAACACATCGAAAGTTACATTCTATCAGGAGGTCTTTGAAGTCGCCGGACTGTTGTTTGCACCACGAATCGAACGACAGGCTGTCCCCACTGCGGTTAAAATTGTCACCATACGTCATCACAATGACGCCATGGGTTTTAAAGATGTTCTCACCGAGCAGAGACTTTATCCTTTGCACCGCGTCCTTCTCCTGCTTGGTGAACCGCACGCCGAATTTCAAGACGAAGATCAGAGCAGTGATGACGCAATCGCAAAGCTTGAAAGCCAAATTCGTGGACGCAAGTGCAGCTGTGGTGCCACCTATGGAATCGTCCCCTGTGTCGCCGATACCAGTTCCGTCCACAACGGTGAAAATACCATTTGAATTTTTTTGTGGGGAGTTATTCTCTTCTGCCCCACCGGAGCTAACAGCTGTGAATATTTCATCCCCAAGAATTGAGTTTCCTGTAGAACTTTTCCCATTCCCGGTTCTACCTGCAAGAAGCAGATTTCCCGATTCAGGAACCATTGTTAATAATACTTTCTGGAAGAAAAAAAAATAAGAGAGAAATTATTAACATTTGAAAAAAAAAATAATGCTACATTAAGTTTTGAGTCTCAACCAGAAAAAGGTTTAGTCAAAAGACTGAACACAATTAAATACCGAAATGTTTACTGTCTAAACACTTAAACACTTTGTAGACAATTTTGAAGCGGAATAATGTGTCATATTTTTTTTACAAAATAAAATAAGCGGTTTACGTAGATATTGTGCCACCTGGGGAGGACCGTCACCACCCCACCACCAAGCTACTGTCTATACTCCCTTGTTCATAGATCTCTGTACCTTTCATCCTTTTATGAAACTATGGCTTCTTTGTGCAATCAAAATATATCATTTACTCAGTCGAACTGGATCAGACGTTAATGCTCAGGTCACACGATCAAATTTCCGTCAATTTTTTTTTTTTTTAAACATGAGACTTTGATCAAATAGTCATTTGAAAGTTGTGACAAGGCTTCATACAAAAAATCGCATCAAATGTATGAGCGAAAGTTTGATCGCGTGAACTGAGCATTATTCTTGTGATACTAATCGAATTAGTCAGCCATACGAAATGCGTCAAACACACCACTGTACCATAATACTTTGTTCCAAAACAATTTGTAGGTAACAGAAAATATTGTACATAATTTCATATACTATAATCACGTGGAATAATTACGTCATCATGTTGGGCTTTCGTAATAATTGAGGATATTTAAAAAAAAACGAAGTCTATCATTTGTGCGAAGGAAAAAAGTTTTAAATTCTAAACAAACTCTTCAACTGTTTTGAAGTTAATGAAATAGGCTAACTCAAAAGACGAGAAAACAGACACAGACCTGGACGCCAGCCAAAGTGTGGATTCTACAACAGATCACTGAACCAATAGGAGCAGACGAACAATTAATAATGAGAAGCGCACGGTAAACATAAAAATGCGAACTTTTGTTAAGCAGATCATCCCGAAAATGAACCAGTGTTTCAGCTCAGAAGGACAGAGAATATTTTATATATATACTAAACAACTGTTAGCCTGAATACCACAACCTCTCAAAATAAAATGAGAGAAACGTGCAGTGACCTCAATTATTTTGACAGGGTTGCTCCTTGTCACAAAAGACCTCTTTACATTTTCATTTCTTTAAATCCCAGATTTTTTTGTTTCTGTTTTTTTTTCTTCTAAAACAAGGGGTTTGGGGTGATTTTGAAACTCCACACATGAGTTTGATCACCACTATATCATCGTTGACTGTGTCGCCCCTACCCGTAAGATGGGGGGCCCGTTTATCCGGCAACACTCGAAACGTCTTTTTGTTATTTGACCTGTCTGTCAAACTCCCAAGGTATAATGTGATGGGTTTAATTGATCATGTTCTTTTACACATTGCTCACAGTAACGCTGAATGAAGACTCATCCTTCTCCACAACTAATGCAACGTTAATCTATCAACATAACCACAGACTGTACATTTCATCAACACATCTATAACGCAGCTCGCTATCAGAGAGAATAACACACAACTATCTCCTACGAAGTCCTTTCCACGACTTGCTCACCAACCAACGCGTACGTCACAAAACAGACGAGACAATACGTCATAATGAGCATAAAAAAATACGCCACGTTGTAAAACGCGGGAAGGCGTTCATTAACTAATAAATCGCTCAAAAAAAACCCACAGCGCACAATACACACATTTATCCAGTGCGCAGCATTAATTAGAGATACCCCAGACTCGTCATTATTTCACCTAACCCCCCCCCCCCCCCCCCCACCCCCCCCCCCCCCACCCAACATTTTTACCAACCTTTTATAGATCCGTAGCTCAAGGATGGTCAAGATTCCTTACTGTACACGACCTTGTCAAGGTTATCCTAAATTTTCACGAAAAATTAAACCGGTCTCACAATGTTTAGCTCTACGTACTGCCTTCACTGGGCCAAGACGAAAAATATTCACTCGTGATAAGAATGAATTTTCACGGGAATGGAAGCGTTGCTACGCGTGTGTGCTAAACTGAGGTATGAAATTACACCAAACAAGATTGAAAAAAAATAAGACGCCATGCATTAACCACTTGTAGGTGATCCACACCGGTGAAAAGGATGCTCACTCAAGCGATGATATCATTGCAGGAGGTGATACGCATGGCTGACGTTAAGGAAGATAAGGAAGGCGTGGTGACAGTGAGACGTGGAAATAGTGAGGCGTGGGGAAAGTGAGGCGTGGGGAAAGTGAGGCGTGGGGAAAGTGAGGCTTGGGGAAAGTGAGGCATGGGGAAAGTGAGGAGTGGGGAAAGTGAGGCTTGGGGAAAGTGAGGTGTGGGGAAAGTGAGGCGTGGGGAAAGTGAGGCGTGGGGAAAGTGAGGCGTGGGGAAAGTGAGGCGTGGGAAAAGTGAGGCGTGGGGAAAGTGAGCCGTGGGGGGGTTACCATCAAATCAAAATAAGCTCGTGCGTCAATAAAGATAAGGGTGATGGTGGTGAGGGTATCGCCTGCATTTTCCATCACAAAATCGACTGATTGGCTATTCAGTAGAGGACCCCTAAAGCTGAGTCAACAAAAGTTTTAGACTAAAATCATCTTTCTCTAATTCTAAATTTGGTTTAGTTAGGGCGCCAAAATTCTCTACCTCTCAGGGCGTCAAATGTATGAATTTTTTTTACATTTTTTTTTTTAGAGAGGGGTGCTAGGCGGGTTTCACTGTTGTCATGTCACGGGTGAGACGTTGTTGGCACCACTGGGTTTGTATCAGCATGACGTGAATAGACCAGCAACATGCATCAGCATTGCACAATAGACAAGCAACATGGAACCGGCATTGTCAGTTTTAGACCTGTTGAAGGCCTTTATATGAAGATGAACATTATTTTCAAAATCTTCTTTTTATTTTGGGGGGATTTGTGAGATATTCAAACTTTTCCTGAACAATGAAGGCTTAAATTTTTGGAAAACTTACAGTCACTATAGAAATTTAATTATAATATAAATTAGAATTTGAATGATAGTTAAAATGTATGCCCATACATTGTTTTTTTTTAAATAACTCTTTATATTCAACTATTACTTAACAACAAAATGTATGTGTATATATATATTGACATTCTGTGTGTTTCTTACTGGGAAATGTCTAGGAAGTTATGTTTTACAAACTTTCAAAAATACAGAAAATAAACTTGATTCGCCACAGAGCTGAAATGGTAGCACTCACAAAGGTTGATTTGAGGGAGGGCGGTGTCAAGCACGGCTTTTTGGGTTAAGGAATAACGTCTAAGTCGATATTGGACACCAGATACAACTGGAAGCACACACAAATGATAACACGCTGGGATGTTATAATTAACAACTTTGACGATATCTTTATAAAATAACGTGAGTTAAGGAGACGTGTAGGGAGACGTGTAGGGAGACATGTAGGGAGACATGTAGGGAGACATGTAGGGAGACATGTAAGGAGACATGTAGGGAGACATGTAGGGAGACATGTAGGGAGACATGTAGAGAGACATGTAGGGAGACAATAGCGAGACATGTAGGGAGACATGTAGGGATACATGCAGGGAGACATATAGGAAGACATGTCGGGAGAGATGTAGGGAGACGTGTAGGGGGATACAGGCTCAAATAGCGTATAACTTGTAAGCGATGGCGATGGAGAAAAAAAAAAGAGGTATACAGGAGTGAGAGATAGAGTGATAGGAACAGTGAGGCGGCAGACGCAGATTAAATGGCTCAGGTGATAAGAAGAATTGATATCAGTAGGACACAGGTCTGACCTAGCACACACAGAGAGGTGCATGTTTACTATATAGCGTTGTTAAGCCTGGTTTTTGTTGTTGTTGTTGTTGTTTAGACTGTTGCTGTTGTTTAGACTGTTGCTGTTGTTGTTGTTTAGACTGTTGCTGTTGTTGTTGTTTAGACTGTTGCTGTTGTTGTTGTTTAGACTGTTGCTGTTGTTGTTGTTTAGACTGTTGCTGTTGTTTAGACTGTTGCTGTTGTTGTTGTTTAGACTGTTACTGTTGTTTAGACTGTTGCTGTTGTTGTTGTTTAGACTGTTGCTGTTGTTGTTGTTTAGACTGTTGCTGTTGTTGTTGTTTAGACTGTTGCTGTTGTTGTTGTTGTTGTTTAGACTGTTGCTGTTGTTGTTGTTGTTGTTTAGACTGTTGCTGTTGTTGTTGTTTAGACTGTTGCTGTTGTTGTTTAAAAGCTGCCCACGCAGTTAGCTTGTTTACACGTAACCCGCAACACATAGAAGCTAAAAAAAAAAATTCGCCACTTTAGTTATCGACTTGTTCACATACAAACATACACGTACAAGCTTACGCGTACATAGACAGACACACATACAAACATACAGAACATACACATGCAAACATACACATAAAGACGTATACGCACAAACAAAACATATAGTTGTATACTTTTCAGAGTTGGCTCGGTGTACAAAGGTCACCCCGTCTCTGACTAATAATTTTTTAAAAGGGGGAAACTGCCTTGGAATTTACCTATTACACGACTATCTAATCAGGGCCTGCCATGCTAGGTACCCGAAATATACAGTTTAACAGGGATCTAACTTCTGAACTAAACCACTAACCTACATAAAACACAACGTGAACTCAATAACATATATAATGTGTTTACTGACCTAAAGTTCAGGTGAACACAACACAAGCACAACTGGCGGCAGCGACGCAACCACTAAGCTCTAATCACCAGTACCAGTGTTGGTGGTGTGGCGTTGAAAACCAGACGTCCAATATGGCGGCCTTATCACATGACTGTGGTGTATTCCAGTTTTTCTCGGAAATCCCCCAAATGATCAACTCTCAAGGCGGTGTAGCGCGTAGCCGGGACAGCTGGTGTGTAAATCGCAGCGGTGTACAGCTGCTTCGTTAGCGTTGATCTAAATAGGGCACTTTGTCGTTTGCTACACCGGTGGCGTATCTGGATTGCTTGCAAGTGTTTGGAATGTGAATTGGGGGGGGGGGGGGGGGTGGGGGGGGCTCATGTATTAAGCATATCTTTAAGTGCATGTCAAAGCAATTTAAATGGAACTGAACCATAGCCTTACTAGACTATTTAAATAGTAATTGATCAAAGGAATGATTAAAGAAAAAATTAAACAAATTACAGTTAACTAACTTTAATTGTAGGCAGGGCGTTGTGAAGGGTGGGGGGGGGCATCCTCCCCGTGCGCCTTATTCATAGGGCGCATTAAAATCGTCCTTTTGTTCATGCAAACTATAATAAATATTAATGGATAATTTTTGTGGTGGAGGGCGCCTTCATCAAAGCTCTGCGCCCGGTGGCAGTATTTGCTTACCTTCACCTTGATATAAGTATATTGTTTCTTTTATACAATTTTAAGTCTCCTATTATATATATGATATGTCTTTACATTGTCTCTAAAAATGTTTTGTTGCCAAATATTTAAAAAAATTATATATTTATAAACCCGATAAGACAACATTATTGGTTAACATATTTTTATGTGGACATGATAATTTAGAATTTGAGGACCAGGTAAACCAGACTTTTGGGTCAAGGAATGTCACACTGTGAGGACGTGGCAGGTCAGACTTTAAATGACATTTTATGTTACACTTTAAGGACATTATATGCCATACTTTGAACATGATGGTATCTTTTCTTGTTCTTTAAAATTGATTTTTTTTATTTTTTTTTTCATTCCAGATTCAGTTGAAATAATGTGGTTCATGTACCGAAGCATACATTTGTTATCATATATAGATGTCGTAGTTAGGATCTTGATTCGATGATAAAGCCGTGTATGCGCGCGCGCGTGTATGTGTGTGTGTTTGTATGTGGGCCATATAGATGTTATAATGACCTCTACTGCAATTTTAAAACTTGTGAAAGGGATAAAATATATTTCGAAGGATGCTCGCAAACTGGGGCGCTAATGGCGAGCGGCCAAAAAGTGACATACAATTGACCGGTGTGACGATTGCGATGGCTTGGTCGTGTTAGCGGGGCGCCGACGGAGAGCGACCAAAAAAATGACATACAATCAATGTTCCCTTTTACGCTGCGCTGCTGCGCAGCTACCTCACAGACGCCGCGCAGCAGTTTTGAGTATCCGCGCAGCGAATTTCAAATGTAAGTGTATGTTTTTTTTTTTGTGGGCTGTACAATTTTGCACACCATTGTTCGATTTTACACAATAATCAGCAAACCTTAGAGGGAACATTGCATAGAATGTACCGGCATGAGGATGGCGACGACTTGGTTGTGTCTGTGGAGTTCCATCACGATCACAGGTCAGGAAAGCTCTAAGATAGCTTGGACCCCCAGGAAAATGGAACTATGGAATACCCAAAAGGTTTTACAGAAGAGCTTTGGAATAGTAACCCGCCAGCCAGCTGCTCTAAAAGAAGTCGGTAAAGCTAAAGGTCGCTCCTTGAATAAATATAGAATACTAGAATAAATGACCCGATGTTATCGCGATAATAATGGTAGGTCCGTTGCGATACCTGCTCTTGCAAAAAACGCATCACAATTCCTAACTTTAAAAGGAAGTATCAATGTAATAATATTTACGTTTCAAACGTCATTAAGTTTTGTGAAGTATTTGTTTGATGTATGTTATACGCCTACCCTACTCCCTTTCACGCCCTTAAATTACTTTTTCTAAACATGACCTTGAATTACCCAATCTAAATTAACACTAATTATACCACTTTTGTCGTTAAACAAGTTAATTGAGGTACGATTTCTACGATAGAGAAATACTTTAGTATTTCCCCTTTTCGTCTCCTCGAATTACATATTTTTTTCTCTTAACATTTAAAAAAAAAATTATCTTAAATTTACACAAAAAAAGCTCTATATATGATATAAAAATATTTTATATTATAGGAATTTGATATTTTGATATATTATCATCAAAAATGTAAAAACACTTTTGTCTTGTTTGTTAAAAAATACATAATAAGAAAATCGTCAAACAAAGAATTATTTTATGTAAAGAAGAATCTCGCAACCGTTTTTTTTTAACATCTATAATATAATTTAGTATCTTTTAATAAAGAAAATAGTTAATATCATAAAAATACACACTCACTTCACTTTTCGCAAAGTAAAAACAAAAATATATGTTCATGTTTTGAAAGAACATATTAACCCATCTCCATATTTCAAAATTAAATTTTCATGTGTGTCAAATTACATAGTTTTGATATTTATGGCTATACTTATATAAATATATCAACGTTATGTTCACGCAATTGATTTTATTAATTGGTAAACATATGTGTTTTTGTGTGTAAAATAAATAGAATGTAATACCTCATTTTTCATAAATTTAATACCATAGATTTAAATATATTGTCATCCACGTAAAAATGTACACATCTCTTCCATTACACATCCGCAACATACCGACCATCACAGCCTTCAAAACTGCACTCAAAACAAAGTTCTTTAAACTCTACTGTCCTGACTGATTCCCACATCTGACCGAGAAACGATGCTACTGGGTGTCGTCCATGGCTTGACATGTAAATAGTTTTAAATATACATTTGCTTTTGTTTTATTTAGTTAATGTAAGATAATAATTTTTTAAAGTGTACCACTCTTTATCAAATCCACTAACAATAATAATACACAACTCATACCTCCGATATGTATGTACCCAAGACAACTCATTATGTATCAAATTCATTCCTTTATTTTGAGACGCATCTTGTGCTGCCCAGGGCAAAATGATTAACCCCCTCCCCCCCCCCCGGCCTCGATTAAAATAAAATTAATAAAATCTTCCACCGGATTGAAGTCTCATCCATATCCAAACTAACATATTTTGCATTTCATATGGTTCGTTTTATTTGGATTAGTTATAAGTGGACTAGTTAATGCTATTTGACTATGGAGTTGCGCAGTACTGGTTGACATAAACGGCATTTTCTTATTAGAATAATATTAAAATGTTACGTTTTTGATTACGTTATAAATTTAATAAAAGTATATATTTTTTTTTAAAATTAAACAAGTAAAAATGTTATTAAATGTTAAAGCTACAAAGCTAAAATGTATGTATTTTTTATTAAAAATTTAAAAGCAATCTATATTATTTATTAATTATAATTTTAAGAGAGGGCAAATAAATTATCAGTTTTGTCACGCGCGGTTATTAAATCAAATAAACTTATAGCTGTGGCTAAATTATACATTAGGCTATCACGCTGTGACGTCATTGGCGTAATTATTTAGATAAAATTAATTTCATTTTTATTTCGCAATATTAACATCACACTAAAATACGCAAAAAGAAAAAAACAGAAGTTTGAGTTTTCCCGATAAATGTGATTAAGATGCAATTCTTAGATCATAATATTTTCATTAATATTTTTTTCATAACTTTTACATTCGGATAAAATGCTTAAAATAGTTTCTTAGTTTCCACTTTAATTATATTTGTAATTAATAATAATAATACTAAACATTTTGCTAAAATAAAAGCGGAATTATTATATTTGTTTTCTTTTTTAAATTTATTCGATTTCTGTAAAATAATAGAAAATAACTATGATTTTATTTTAAGAATCCGAAGGTATCTGCTAGATATGTTCGATTCGTTGGCGTCACGTCAGCATAGCGCATTCTTATAAACATTAGCAACAGTACTGTGAATACCAACTTGTTCACGTTTTCTCTCCAATTTTTTTTTTTTTTTTTTTAAATTAAAGAAATATAATAAAAGTCAAAGTTGAATGATATTTAATTATGTATTTTTAACAATAGCAAGATGACGACCCCATGTGAATACCAACTTGTTCACGTTTTCTCTCCAATTTTTTTTTTTTTTTTTTTTAAATTAAAGAAATATAATAAAAGTCAAAGTTGAATGATATTTAATTATGTATTTTTAACAATAGCAAGATGACGACCCCTGAAGCTGCTGTCAGTATCAAGGAGACAACTTCTACAGCACCATCCATGAATGACGTCAGTGAATCGCACACGCAGTGGTAAACGTGTGTAAGCATGAGACATACCCTCTCACCGTACGTCGCCTCGGTGTCGGAGGAGGGACCCATCTCCTTGCCCGAGTACATTCGCTCCCCTTCGCGTTGTGTTGTGGTTGACCTCCCGTTACAAGTGTCTGACGTGCATTTTTCTGAGCCTTCCTCTTGCAGCTGCGCGACAGATCTCCTGCCCTTGTTCACCGCATAGTTCCACACCACACCGAAGTTGTAGAGTACGCATGCCAGGGACACGGTGATGAGAACTTTATTGTAATTTGCAGGAACTATTATCGCCGGCCACATTGTCTCACTATGTTTTGAGGGTGATGCACGACGATGAAGCCCTTAATGTTTTCTAGTATGGATTGTTACCCCTGTAAAACATGAGAACCCTCGGGTCTTATGTTGAATTCTATCATAATATGACGAACTTTGGAATGTGTCTCTCTGGGCTCTGCTATTGCTAACCTAAAGATAAAGAAATATATGAGTTCATACAATACCAACTAATACATATAAACGATTAAGTAGCTACAACGGCGTCCCAACGTCTGCAGTTTTCCACGTCACATTGAGAAACGAAAACAAGTTGAATGCTAAAAGCTATAATGTCGCATATAGTTCTACTTCCCTCAGCTAAAACGGTGTGACATAATATCCCACTTCGACATTTCACATTCTTGTATCATTGATTTTCAAATTCTGGACCACCAGATGTTGTCACCGCGGCTCATTCAGTCGATATTCATGTAAACATCCAACTTTAAGAATCTATTTCCCCCCCCCCCCCCCCCCCCACTCTCTTTTAAGTCCACTAAACAATTTCCAACTGTAAGCTTTTCAAGATCTATTCGCCGTTCAAACAGATGGATCTTACACGTAAACGAGTTGCTAACTATGCGCATATACTTGTAGGTATCCAATAAACGTATACTAAAATTTGAGTGTTTTAAATGCACACACCTTGGAGAGACACCGTTCACTATGATGGATTGTCGTCGCTACTCACCTGTATTGACGATGTCAGCTTTCCCAATGTGTCGTCATGGCCAGATCTACCTTAGTCAAACATTCCATGAGGTTGTATCAACAAGTCTTAGTGTTGGCCGTGCCTGCAGCCACCCCCCTCCATGAATCAACCAGTGTAACGCTGTGTGCATGTGCTGCTACGGTCGTAGTCCATTGATTATTAAAATTTTAACATGGTATTGATGTCTCAATCATTATTGATCGGTGTATAGAGCACGGACATATTTGCCGAGGTTGGAGATTCCCTTCATAAGCCTCCATTCACTGACCTTCACTGGCATTTCCCCTTTTCGGACAATATTTTCCATGGTAGGCTGATAGTTAACTTATTAGACTGATGTTCCCTTTGTTAGGCCGATGTTCCCTTTATTAGGTCGATGTTTCTTTTATTAGGCAGATGTTCCCTTTATTAGGTCGATGTTCCCTTTATTAGGTCAATGTTCACTTTATTAGGTCGATATTTCAATTTATTGCCCATATTTCTCTTATTATTTGGCTGAAAATAATTTATAAGACTATATTCCTCTTATATGGCCAGTTTTCTTCCCCTTTGAGGCCAAAGATAACCCTAATTAGTGATATTCTTTTTATTAGGTCGAGATTCCCATTATTAGGCAGAGATTCCCTTAATGATGTATTCAAAATATTTTTTTTAAATACAGATTAGCTTGCACTTGGACATCTATCACTTTTCCCCATTCCTGTAATTCCCTATCCCTATGCCATTTTTAAAAACTTAATTCAATTTATTTGAGTAAGGCTTATTAAAATAACCACCCCCCTTCCCCCCCCTCCCAAAGAAAAAATAATTTTAAAAATAAAAAAAATAAAAAATATTGTTTTTAAATTTAAATGTTGCATATTTTCAATATTAATAATTTCTTGCCCTTCAACTCATGCAATCACCATCCAATCCATGTTTACATAACCAAACCATGGCTTCGAGCAATAATATGAAAAGGGAAAAACCCCACTTCCTCTTTTTTTTACCCAAAATAAATGTGTTGGGTTTTTTTTTTTTTCCTCAGCGATCTTACCCCATTGACTGATATAGGGGTTGTCATTTAACGGCTTTAATCTATTAATAGAACATCCGGGCAAACAGACTGGCCAATCTCATTAAAATATAAACAAAAAAAATCCTGGTAGTTCGTATGGTCAAACTCTCAAGAGCGCTTCGGTATTTCTACGTTATCGCAATACTGGGTTTAAACTTAGATGGAAACGACTGTATACTTTATTATACGAAAGATTTTACGAAAAAAATTTTAATGCTATATATACAACATACATATATATTTAGAGATACATTGTTGAAGCTAAATTTTAAGAAGATATTGTCTAAAAATAGTAACATTACGTAATGCGATGTGATGATTTCCGGTCTTAGAAATGACTAACCCTATTCGCACACCGTCCACAGAGTGAGTCTTGCCTTGTGCAATGCTGATCAGTAATTGTAAACCTTGCATTAAGTGAATTCAACAGAAGAGGGAGTTAGTTCTAATTTTTACCACGAAGAGCGAGGAGACATGAACACACGATTTGAAACAAAACAGATTCATTGTTTATTGTGCAATCAAAACAAATAAACTTATGAGAAATTTTAAAAATCTAACATTTGAATAAATTAATTTTTTTTTTGGCAGAGTAAAAAAAATCAAACCACGAATAATTTCTTTGAATTCATATTTTTATAGAACTGCCCCTTGCCTCTTTATTTAAACAAATAAAATTTAAAAAAAACTCTGCATTTGCCAGTATTCTATTGGTCAGTAATTGTTCTTCAATTTTGAGAAACAATTTCCATTTTCGGCAATCTGGTTGAAATTTTTTTTTTATTAATTAATGAACATAAAAAAAATAAATAGGATTTCTCGATAGGCAGATAAATGGGATTATTTAGATAAACAAACGGATGGGATTTTTCACGATAAACAAGTTAAAACTTATGGGTGGTATACTCTTTCATTTCAGAAGAAGGGGGAAAAAATCACAAAGAAGCATTTGAGATTTGTGCACTTAAATAAACCAAGTCTTTAAAGCCTTCTGTTAAACTTGACTCCTTTAGGATGTCTGGTGAAGACTCTCTACGCCCTTTAAGATGTCGATTGTTTGTTTGATTTTGGTCTTAATTGTACACGTAGAGCAGTTTGGAAAGTCCTTCGAAAAAGTAACGCATTATTCTCTGTACTGTTTGTTTTGTCAAATACTGTGCTCATCGCTGTTCGGTCGTTAAAAATTGGCGTACCTCGAAGCAAATACGAGCGTCACGGTACTGACAACTATAACGACGACACCCGCGGTGGCCAGGCATTCTTTTGATGACCACGAGAAACGCCACGAGCTCCTCCTCGTCGGCCTGCTCGTCGCGTGAAATTCCTCCGCGGGTCTGAACGTGACGTTGTGCTCAGCAGCTGGCACCGGAAGCACCGTGCTGTGACTCTCTTCTTCGACCAACTGCTGGCATCTCTTCCTGCTCGACTCCAGGCTCATCTCCGCCACGCTGATCTGCAGTAACATGGGCTTAACTAATCCAGTACCTCGGTCTTCTTGGTTTAAGTATAGCTTTTGGGACTCGAGTTCCCTGGACAGTTTTTGGAGCTTGTCAATGCAATCGCTGGGGTGACTTGTCATGCGGTGTTGGATAATCGCAACTTGCCCGTTGATTTTATCAATTATTTCGTTTACGCGGCTCTGTAACCTTGGAATATAGCTCTGCACTAATATTTTAGTGTGTCCTTCTAGCGCCTCCTGGAATACTCTTTCGGTGTACGGCTCGTCTTTGATGGCCTTGACCTTTTCCATGAGATTATGGCGTTGAACTCGCTTTTTATCCTCGTCTTTTTCCCTGTTGTTGAAGAGCACGCACCTGTTATCGCATTCTGTGATCAAAGTTTGAATGTCCCCTATTTGTTCTTTCAACCAGTCTTCAAAAGTCCCGTTCTCATCCTCATTGTCCATCTCGAAATTGTCCCCGTGCGTCATAACGAGGACGCCCCATTTCTTCAGGACGTTCTTGCCGAAGACGGACTTGATCAGTTCCACGGCGTCCTTCTCTTGCTTGGTGAACCGTACGCCGTACTTCAGCACGAGGATAATGGCGTGAACGTTCAGCACATATCTCCACAATGTTTCCCTGATGTGTGTTAGGAGAGACTGGACGTCACGTTTGGCGTCACTTCCTGTGTCGCCGGTGCCTGTTCCATCCAACACTTGGATATGAAACCCATCAACGAGCGCCGAGTTAAATTCCATGACGTCATCACTATTTCCGTTTCCGGGAATGAAGGCACGTTCACCGAGAATCGAGTTCCCGGTTGAGCTTTTACCATTTCCTGTTCTTCCCACCAGAAGCAGATTATATTGTCCATAAGAAGGGGAAGTCATCTTCGATTTGCTATTGAAAGGAAGAAGAAATACTTTGTAAGGTCATTGTTATTTAAATATATCATTAGATAAAATATCAAATGTAATTTCATTTACCTTAAATCACAACCATAATCTTTGAGGAAGAGGATTGGCGATTTAGTGGCTACTTTAAGGGTCACCCGGGTTAGGCTAATATCCCCCCCCCCTCACACACACTTTTTTCCCCGCGATCGTAAAAGAAACTCTGGCATTGGCTGAAAATGTAAAAAGGACACCCGTTAGGTAAAGAAAAAAACTTTGCCGCTGTGGGGGCAGACCGCCCCATTTGCCCCCTTACTACGCAAGTGTTGATGGTTTTTCCCATCATCAACTCCACTGCCATGCATCCCTCCATTTTTAGGAATATCAAAATTTTCTGCAAAAACACAAATATAAAGTCTCTCAGATCACTGAAATGAAACATGCTATTACCCTTATTCCAAGAGCACACCAAGGAGGAGCCTACTGAACTTCAGTGTTACCTGCTGGTGTGGGAATTCAAGAAAGCTTCTATTAATATCCCATCAACTTAACACACCCATAACTATTTGAAGAAGAAAATGCTGTTGTTAAAAACCTAAAAGAATTTTTGGATGATGCGCCCCCCCCCCCTCCTCATCACATTGTACACCTTAGATCAGCTCGATCAGGTCGAATTCTTTCTCTCAATGTTAGGACCAAAAGATACGCAATGTCTTTGTCTCCACAGTCTGTACGATTTAACCCGCACGTTTTCCACAGCGATTGCAAATCTAATAAATGATCACTAATAAGTCATTTTGTCACTTAATGAATTGATTCATAGCTGATTGCTGCGCTATAGAGAAATACTTTAGATAGCTTGATTTTAAATCATTGTTAGTGCTAAATGTTGTCTTGTTAAAAATTTGTATTTAATTATGTGTTGAAAATGATTTGAAAGATTATTATCTTACCAATGATTTGTGTCATTGAAAAGGAACAACACCATAACAGTTGAATGTCTAGAGATGTGGCTTTATTGATTAAGGCGTCTAGAAACATTACACACTTCCCTCCTTAAATTCATTTTAAAGTCAATGTTATAAGACCTGCCATCTAGTGCAGTGGTTCCCAAAGTGTGTTACGCGTTCACCCGGGGGAAGAGCCTGGTTGGAAGCGGGTTGGGGGGGGGGTTTACGCACTGCGAAGGAATAAATATATTTTAAATATATATTTTTTTATATTTTTATTAAAGTAAATGCATTTTTTTTAGGCGGGGGTTCCACCGATGCCGAAAGTTTGAGAAACACTGATCTAGAGGATAGTTGCCGACCAGTAACTTATTAAGTAATAACTCTTTGAAAAAATTATCTGCTAAAATTAGCTTTGTGTGTTTTGTTAACTTATATAACATCTATGTTGACTTAGCAAAAATAAATTGACATATTTAGCACCTACAACGCCGGGCCGCAATGAAAAAAGAATGATTATGGCCCAGAACTTCAAGCGCTGAGTGTGTCTTTAATAATGTTTGAATCGTTTCACATTTGCTTGGAGTGAAAGAAATGCAGCCCGTTAGATGTGCTGTGTGTGTTCTGCTATTTTATTTTGAACTTCGCCCTGCAAGAGAAAAAAAAAGGGACTGCTAACAACTGATTATCAGTAACGTGTATCAACTTTATAACCCTTAAAAAGGTCAAGTATCAAATATTTTTGTTTAAGCTTCTACTCTCGTGTTACTGTGTTGTAGCGGTTCTCATACGTTTACGAAACTCGGATCATTGCAGACAAAAATAAGATACATATATTTTGTTAAACAATTATTGTTAGCTTCTATTTTGATCTGCTTTTTTTTCCATGAACACACCAAGAAAGAAATGTGTTGCTTAAAATTCTTAATATTGATTGAAATTAGTCGATGATTTCTTGTCTACTTCGACCAATCGATCGTTTTAATGAAATTCATGTTCTATTATTAGGACTTAATTATGGATATTTTCTATAAAATGTGTTTTGACAGAACCCAGTAAGAAGATGGTAACTTCGAAAGAAGCCATAATTTTAACTTAATTTACCAGAGACATACATAGATCTTTTTACAAGAGACATACATAGATCTTAAAATAAGAAATGAAACGCCTACCTGGCGAGTTGTCTTTCCAAAGAGCTTGCAACAAGAGTTGTCTGTCCACAGAGCTTGAGACAACTCCTCTGTGTAGTAGAATCACACACTTGACCAGTGTAGCGTCTGGAGTAGTCTCACCAGTTATCGGTTTGCCTCCGATAAATTAATCTTCGGCCTCCAAACTGTAAACTGTCGTGCAGTGGAACTCCCAGCTACTCGCACCCACCCGTCACTGGAACACAATTATCATTCAGCAGTTTAATTCACGATCGTGGGATCTACCTTCGTGCTGAAAGAAAAAAAAAAGGAGGGAGGGGGGGCGAAGACAGTGTGACAATTTCTAATACAAAGACCCACACTACAAGCACGCCACTGACCTGGGAGGTGCCTTGCTACACTTTTTTCCCGCCAACGCCAACACCCCCCCCCCCCCCCCCCCCCCCCTTTTTAGGCATACTAAAGGGTTTTTCGTCTGTCTCACACTACCAGTCAACCCTCCGCACTCTGGGAGACGGGGGTTGCAAACTTCACTATTCTTATTCGAGCTAAATAATAACCAAAAACAAAGTAAGTATATCAAAATTGACAGGCTCCTAAAAAAATTTGATGGAACTGGAGCACACGTTTACAAATCCTTCATCAACAAATTTACTGAAATGTCTGAAATGGCCAGAGTGTTTAAAAAAATTATTTCTTTCGTGACAGAGAGAACCAAATGGTAATCGTTGAAAACACGAACTCTCTGGCTTTTATCATTAGGCAATTTCATTAGGACACATTCTAAAAAAAATAATTGTTTTTTATATGTATCTAAAATATTTCGAAAGGGCTCTTTCGAGTTAAGTGAAAACTAAAGTACCACCATGTGTACTGGGGCCCTTATACGGTGGGGGTAGCGGTTTGGGGGGGGGGAAGATGGGGTAAATAGATAGTTTTTAAAGGGTCTCTTCACTTTGTTCTTACTTTGCCCAGAAAAGCATGTGTACCACCACGAACCCCCCCCAGTATGATGGACAGCGCTGGTGAAATCTTTGAAACCATGTGTACTGGGACCCTTATACGGTGGGGGTAGCGGTTTGGGGGGGGGGGAAGATGGGGTAAATAGATAGTTTTTAAAGGGTCTCTTCACTTTGTTCTTACTTTGCCCAGAAAAGCATGTGTACCACCACGAACCCCCCACAGTATGATGGACAGCGCTGGTGAAATCTTTGAATACACAGATAATCCCAACAAAACAGTAATTACAAAGTATAAGCACTTTACGATCATGTTCAGTGCGAGTTATGTTTAGAACGACATGACCAGAGGTCAGGGACGACGGCTGCTGGTCAAGCTATAATCAGATGAATGGACTTACCGTTCGTCTTAACAACAATGTCATTACTGTTGAGCTAAACTATAAAATAAAAGATAACAATATTCTTACAAACTATCGAATTTAACATTATTAAATTTCAAATAAATATTCAGCAATTTTGAATGAGTGTTTTTACTTTTAAATTATTATTATTATAATTATTATTATTATTGTTATTTTTATTATTATTATTAGATTAAAAGCATAAAAATAGAAGCTGAAATATCATGAAAATAAATATTAAATTAAAACACTGTTTAATATATATTGATTTTAAATGCTAATAATTCTTTTGTATATGTTTTACTCAAAATATTTTCTTGTCATCCAAACACCATCTTATTAGTTATTTTTAATTATTATTTTTCCTTTTAACTCTCTTATGTTTGAATTATAATTTGGCCGTAATTTTAAGGCTGCTGTTCCTTATTAAAATGTTTGTAAGCCAATTGTGTAAAAAAATAAATAAATATGTATCAAGACTTACTTCTCATGATGCAAAGCCACATCGGATAAATCCGATTATCCGAATTGTGATTTCCTTTGTGTTGCCAGTGAACACCGGAAAAATCGACTATTTACCTTTCCGTTGAAACTCTAGTGTTGCTGGTGACATGTGATGACCACTAATGCTAAACGCATGCACACACACACATGTACAACACACACACACACATACACACATTACACTTATATACACACACACACAAACAATCGCTAAAGCTGAAGAGTCCCTTTATGATAAATCTAATGTGTTATGGCTTTTGAAAGTGTACGTCTACTTAAACTATATAGTATGTAGAAGTGAAGGAAGATATAATGTTATTGTGTAAAATGGATCAAACAGACCGTGACTGAGTTATGGACTCCTAATGAATACTATATCATAAACGGCAAAAGTAAACGGGTAGCGGCCAGAGTCGGGTTCAAGTCTTCAGATGCCCTGCCTTTAAAATGTTTTGGTACCCCCCCCCCCCCGCTCAACACCCTATGCTGCTAATTAATACCACACATTAGAATGACACTGCACAAGCTCAGCTTCAAAGGTTTCTAAAATCATATTTTGAGCGTTTCACTGCCCTGAAAAATCTATGTCGCTTTAAGATGATGGTAAGGGGATGAACCTTATGGTGTACATCATTTACTTTCGAATCTCGCTGTGCTTTTTTTACTTTACAGACTAATTTCAGTCAGTTGGCGTAGGTAGGGTTGGTGTCAGCCGGTGCGGTAAACTCATGGTGTCATCCCCAACCCCCCCCCCCAACCCCTAGCTACGCTATTAGTTTCAGTGGTCCCACCCTCCGTGACCTTATCCCCGATGCCCCTAAGCAGGGACTTATGTGACTTAATGGTTAACCCCCGGGGGCCCTGGCTGCAGCGTTTTGTTGAACAAATTGACTCTCTTTTGACTTGACATAAAATTACTCGGCTAAGAGTTTTGACCACTGCTTTTCAGGACAGGTGGCTGGGCGTCTCGAGTTATTGACAGGTGCCCTAGACATCTCGAGTTATTGACAGGTGCCCTAGACATCTCGAGTTATTGACAGGTGCCCTAGACATCTCGAGTTATTGACAGGTGCCCTAGACATCTCGAGTTATTGACAGGTGCCCTAGACATCTCCAGTCATTTGAAGACGCACATCACGCGATGGTAACACAAATTAAATGTTAACATTTAAATTGATTTACAGTAATATTTTGAAGAATCACAATTTTCATTCATTGAGATTTTTTTAATCATCATTTATTATTTTTATCGAAGGCTGGCCTTCAAGTACGGCTACATGTTCAAATTAAGTCCAATTTAATTAAAAGTACATGTTCAAATTAAGTCCAATTTAATTAAAGGTACATGTTGAAATTAAGTTCGATTTAAGTAAAGGTACATGATGAAATTGAGTCCAATTTAAGTAAAGGCACATGTTGATTTCAATGTAGGAAAGGTAAAACTTAGGCAATGAAACTATACAGACATGGTCTAGCTGTCATAAAGACATATATTGACATGAGTCTTGTAGACAGTATCAGTGACGCTGGGGGTGGGGGGGGGGTGTCTGACCCGAACAACGGGGAACTTGTTTTCCTTAAATTGCAGAATGCCATGTTAGTCCAAAAAAAGTTGTTTTTTTTTGTTGAGTCTGCGGGCAAAAATCTGATCCGCCCCGGTCGGCAACAGTCCTAGATAAGCTCCTGAACGTTACACTTAAACAGGTCCAGCAAACAAGACCTGACTTGGACAGTGACTAGGTTATTTTTTCAGGATATCGTATTTTCCACAAATCTTGTTTTCCCGAGGATTTCATTTTTGAGTCCTTTTGTTTTTGTGGTAACTTGGCTGGTTTGTTTTTGTTTTGTGGTAACTTGGCTGGTTTTATTTTTTTTTGTGTGTACCGAACCTTCACTTTAAAACGTATTTACAATTAGATCGTGTGGACCGTTGTGTTCAATCGTTGTTGCGTGAAAAAGGGGGGGGGGTGTTCGTTTTCATCAAAGATGGCAAACAAATGGGGATGGGGTGGAGGAGCTAGAAAACATTTTAGCTGGATCTTACACCTGTATTATATTGAAAACAAAAAACAATGGGGGTTTTTTGGAAAAAAATGTGTTTTACGATTAGTGAAATTGAAAGACATAAATAAATATGAACAATTTTTTTTTTAATCTGAAAATTTTGAAATATATATTTTATTTTTTTTAAAATTCGTTTAGCCTGTGAAAATTCAACACATAATTTTTAAATATTTTATAAATTTTTATGTAGCTAATATTCATTGAAATTTGTCCGCCTGATCTAATGTATCCTCAATCCAGGCCCGTTAGGGAAAAAAAAAGAGGGGGGGGGTGTGGGGCTAAGCGCCCCTCATTTCTGCCCTTCACCCGATCTAAGGGATAGTCCTGCACCATTTTTTATTATATTCTTTTTTAGTAATCAATTTTTTTTTTTTTAAATCTATGTATAAAGCCCCCGTCCGGGCAGCTCAAACTCTAGCTAAGCCACTGGCTATGGCTTGATCCATTTCTTAATTGTGTGTGTGTGTGTGGGGGGGGGGGGTTGTATTTTCAGGCTTTACCTTCTACGCAAAGTTTACTTCTCACGGACCTGTGTGGATCTGTGATTCACCACAACCGAAATTTTGGATGGATTACTGCACGTAATGGCTCGATGAAGGGATGTCATAAAGCAACAGTACTACACGTTTTGAGTATTAGAAAGGATGTGACACGCTAGTACCTTTGTCAACATCCACAATATAGAAATAACACAAAGCACAAGACAATCATCCAATAAATTTGTAATGAAAAAAATTAACCAAAAAAAAAACTGAACCAATTAAAAAGATGAAATAAATGAAATCAGCTTTCTTTTTGTCTGGCCTCTTGCGTGTTTGACCCTGATCGATGACTTGAGGAATTCATTTGAATTCCTTTGTAAAATTTATACATAAATATATATATATATAATGTGACAGTCAAGATACAGTTGCGACACGGTTAAGTCACAATTGTGACTTAGTTAAGACTTACTTGAGACATACTAAAGGCACAGTAAGTTTGTATAGTAAGTAATGGTACAACTTTAAATTCACGAGAGCTCTGCTTTGTTATCTTTGTAAATAACTTCTTGAACTAGAAATGAGGGGGGGGGGGACCGGGACTAACTCAATACTACCGTACACACAACTGATATAATAATACTAATAATAACAATTATTCCCGCTATTATAAAAATAGCACGGGCTCTTTTGTGTGACAGAAGTCTGTCAAGACATTTCGGTCCCTTGTCTTCCTCCTCTGCCGTGAATAACTCTATACAAGCCATGTCCTTCCCCTTATTATATCTTACTCCAGCTTCCTCGATGGGCGGCTGTATCATGGGTTCCTCTTCAGGGGGCGTGTCCTGTTTATCTTCCGGTGTGACCAACGCCCATTGCGTCATCTTGGTCTTGACGCTCAGCAGCGCCACCTCAACTTGCTGGACAAGTCTCACCACCAGCCCCGCTCCATCATCCTCATTCTCCAGATATGTCTTGAAATTGATGAGCTGACTGTGGAGAACATTGAGTTTCTCTGAGACTTCCCTTTGTTTCCCATTCTTCTCCAACTCCGCAAGTTTTGCATGCAGTTGATCGATCAACTCCTTTGTTTGGCTCTCCATTTTTGGAAGGTTAGCCTGGACCAATAATTTCTTTCGCCCTTTCCCAGCTTTCTGGAAATCCTCTTTGGTGTACGGTACATTTTCAATGGCCTTGACCTTGTTTATGAGACTCTGGCGTTGATGTAGTTTTTTATCCTCATCTTTTTCCCTGTTGTTGAAGAGCACGCACCTGTTATCACATTCTGTGATCAAAGTTTGAATGTCCCCTGTTTGTTGTTTGAACCAGTCGTCGAAGGTCACGTCCTCATCCTCATTGTCCATGTCAAAATTGTCCCCGTGCGTCATGACGATGACGCCCCATTTCTTCAGGACGTCCTGACCGAACAAGGACTTGATCAGTTCCACCGCGACCATCTCTTGCTTGGTGAACCGTACGCCGTACTTCAGTACCAGGATAATGGCGTTAATGTGGGTCACAAAGCTTTTAGTGATACAATCAATGAGGGAGACGATATCCAGCTTGGCGTCGGATCCAGTGTCCCCAGTGCCAGTTCCGTCAATCACTTGGACATTACGTCCGTCCACTTGGGCCGAGCTGGACTCTATGACGTCATCATTCGACTCAACGTTTACGTTGCGCGCTTTGAAGGCAGGTTTGTCGAGTATCGCATTTCCGGTGGAGCTCTTACCGTTTCCCGTTCTGCCTACTAGTAGGAGAGTGTACGGTTCAAGAGTTGAGTCAGACATCTTCTGAAATAGATTAAACATATAATAATGCCATACTTTTGCTTTTTATAAATTGAAAGATTATTTTCGTTTACTCTGTATTTAGTCAATCCTCACTCATAATGTCCAGACCTCTGGAACAACCAGGAAATACCCGTCACATATTAATTTGTTTTTAAAAAAAATGTTTGGCGGACTACTTAAGGACAAAGTTGTTCGGGCAATGGGTAGACAGTATGTTTGTCCGCGGAAGCGGAGCGTCTCCGAGGAATCTTGGGGGCGTCCACATGGAGCTTTGCCTCTTCGTGTCAGACTAGTAGGGAGGTTACATCCCGAAGCTAAACAACCCCGGCTACTGCATGACTCCCAACGCAACGGGAGGAACGCAATAACAGGATTACGTGTTGCCAATAATGCACATGAGGTCTGGGTGATGGTTTAAACCCTTGCCGATGGATGATTTTAGCTACGCGGCTCTGAGAAAGCCGCTACCAGGCGACCGTTTCGTCCCCGCTTACGTCGTGACCGGACGGCTCCCTGGGTGGTTTGAGGGGGGGGGGAGGTAACGCAACATCTTTGCCCCGGAGAGGAAGTAAAGCCGTTCAGACCCAAGGAGAGTGGAC